GTGCTTCTCTTTTCTTGCCCCCTTTCCACTTTTCTTCAATGCTTCCCCAATCCCCTGGCGTAATATTTATGTTACTTATGATTTTACGAATTTCCAACTCACATGCTTTACATGTGTCTGAACTGATGAGTACACAATTACGCCTGTGAAGTTGGCTGAATAAAATATCAACACATGGCATGATTTTATGAAAAATCGACAAAGTTCCCTAGATAGGTCTCTTTGATACATTACTCCATTTTATAGTCGAGAAAGTAATCACAGATCTTGAATGAAAGCTCCTTTTAGTACAAAATGATCTTGGTAAAAGTTTTGGACTATTTCCTTTAAAGCGGGCGTTCTTCGTGTGGTATTGGAAAAGAAAAAGCCGAGTCCTTGAAGGTAAGCAAAAACAACATTGTAACATTTTACAGTGTTGGGGAAAGCCAGCAACCCAGACGAAGACCTTTACTGACTGTGAATGGAACCGAGAGCCTGCTGTATATCTTAATCTGAGAAGTGTTGTTCTTATATATGTGTGTGGTTCCAATTAAGTTTTCACTGATTTTAAGTCCATCCATTTCTTCCCATACTCTAGCAACCGTACATTGTTATACGCCTTCTGAAGATCAATGAAACCCAATGAACTTCCCTACCTCTCCTTGTTCTCTTTTCTATAAGTTGTTTTAATGTAAATATATTGTCTATGACGGATCTACCGGCAGTAAAACCACATTGCTCCTCTCCTAGTTTTCCTTTTATCTCTTCTTCTATTTTATTATTATTTTGCTATACAGTCTGCCTATAGATCCAATAACTGCTATTCTTCTGTAGTTTGTTTCATTGTCTCTAGATCCTTTCTTGTAGATCGGTGTTAGGTAAGACGTTCGCCGCTCCTGAGGAGGAGCCTCTCCATTCATGCACCTTAAAACATGTGTTTGAGCATTTGTGCAGTTTATAGGGACCCTATTTCAGTACTTTTGCCGGTATATCTCCCGGACCTGGTGACTAATTGGATTTGAACTACACTAAATTTAATCAATATGTATAACATTAAACATATTTAGCACACTTTTACTTCTGTTTTATAATGGCTTGCACTCCGTGTTGTCCACGAAAAATACCTGGATTACTGGATGACATGACTCATGACTGCGTAATGCTAGCCCAAATGAATGGCAAAATCTAATACAATTACTTATAATGTCAAAAACGTACATATTCTCAGCTATTTTCTGGTTGTGTATTTCTATTGCTCTTCAGTACTCATCGTCTATATGCTGGGCTGTCTTTACATTTCTGAACATTGCCAGGCCGTGTTACTCGCATGCAGGTTTTGATCTAATGCGTTTGATTTCAATCTTACACGTAACGAAAATGGATGCTCTAGCAACGAATTTACTGGATTCATTTTTTGCAATATTTCGGTCTTAAATTATTCACAAAAGATCAATTAATGCAGTGGGGGCTTGTAGGGTAATGCTCGTGTGCCCTGGCACCACCAACAAAAAAAGAAAATAATTTTTTCACCACAAAAGAGGGTATAAAATAGCGTTTCTTCAAAATAGTTTTCTTTATAGTAATTCATTTGAACGAGCACGTAAGTCATTCGATGCTGTATCAATTCTCTCTTTAAACGCACAGGATATGGTGCTATCTGTCGGTCTCCTCCTGAACACCTACGAAGTCGCTCCGTCTCTGCCCTTTTAACTCCGCAATCCAGAACGCTGCATTGGTTTGCATGCACCTCTTATGGGTGAGACGGAGTTGAAGTGGCACAGTAGTTCACGTACTGCTCCACAGAGTACGCTCGTAGCACCATCTTCATCGAGAAGACAATCTCTCGCTCAGGATGACCCCGATGCCCTGGGATTTCGCACATGGAGAGGCGGTGTACCTATTGGGCGTAAGGGGAACTCAGGAAGCTGACCTCTTGAGATTACAGTGGGCGCTCACGCTTTCAGACAAGTATTTTTATTTACTCTTGTCCCTCCATCTGTCTGCTCGCATGTTTTGTCTGTCCGTCCGTCCGTCAGACGGTCGTTCCGCCCGGCAAGCAGACAGGTGGAACGACTGTCGGACGGACGTTCAGGACAAAAATTAGCTGTTTTACCGCACACAATTACAATACTTTCCCTTACGTTAATAAGAGCAAAAAAGTAAAAAAAAAAAAAAATACTACTTAGTATTGTAATTCTGCAATGTATATTTTTTTCAATTTTCGAAAATACACTAAGTTCACAGATAATTGGACCTGTATTATTTTTATAATTGCACTTTGCTATATTCGAGAAAATATAAGAAAAATATTTGGAGCCATTTCGAAGAAAATAATTTTTGCCCTATTGCCTATATTTTACAGAAAATTACGCATATTTTAGAAAAATTACACATAATCTTATTCTAAAAGCTGGTTTTGAAGAACAGAATCATTTAGAAAAATATCTCTTGAATATCGTAGTTGTGGCAAGACGTTGAAAAACTTTTGAACTTCAATTTTCGAAACTACAGCGAGTTCAACGAAAATTCGAACTGCGTAATTTTTTAAGCATCTTTTGCTTAGTTTTTAGTCCAAAAATAATTTCTCAGTCGAAAAATTGCCGTTTTCCCCGCATCATTACGATACTTTTTATTACCTACCTAAGTAGTATGCGAGAAAGTAAAAGCGAAGCAGAAATGAAATTCAAAATTATTGGCCAATTTCTCAGTCTCTTGTCAGTTTACTCAACAGTATTAGAGTCGTTTCTATATACGAATAGAATCTTTTCTGAAGGAAGAAAAAAATGAAGTGTTTTCAGACTCAACAGGGATATAGAAAATCAAGATCTACAGAAACGTCAATTTTTTTCTTCCCTTAAATATGTTGCTTTATCTATGGATCAAAATGTTGCATCTACTGGAATACTTTCAAATCTTTCGCATTATTTACTATAATGTTTTGCGTTGGAAAAATTACCTTTATTTGGAATTCGGGTGGTGCCTTAGATTGAATATCCTCGAACCTTAAACATCGAGCTTTCAGAGTGGAAATATAGTATTGGCATGGAAGAATATTCTTTACTCACCTTTCCAAATCTCTAACAATTGAGCATGGGGTCCAACACCGATTCTATTCTTTTATACGGTCACGAAGCAAACAAACTGAATGCACTTGTGCATTTCAAACTAGAAATCGGGCGCGCCATTGAAAATGAACAACATGCAATTGGCTGATGTTAAGATAACACAATTTCTGGATCTTTGAATTAAATCAAACCAAATTATGGAATATCGAAATGAAGGGACCGTTCTGGGATGCCTCCAATTGATATAGTAAGCAATAACGTTTTTCCAATTCTTTTACATTTGAGAAATTTTGCAAAATCTCAACTGACTTTTATCTACAAATTTTATCAGACAGTACTGCATTTCCTGTTTGCTATTTAATGCTGTATTGCCCTTTTTCCTTGCAAGTTTTTGCTTCAAACTCACTGTGCGGTATTAATACCGGCGTCGTTAGCTGCATTCCTTACCTACGCTCCGTGAAGTCACGAAGGTTAAGCGAATTCGAGTCATCGCCGACTCCTGGCTGGGTGACCGTCCAGGAATCCGGGATTTACGATTTTAAGCCCCTGACCGAAAGCATAAAACGCAATGACGGCTGACGATGATTGACGACATTAAAAAATATTTCAAGTAGGATTACTCAAGTGCTCAATACCATAGAAGAGCTTAGAGACGAGTTGGGAAGGCAAAAAACAAAACAGACATCCATCGTCACACATTTTCTTCACTTTGATAATGAGAATGTCTCACAAGCCATTTATTGATTGGTGATATGTACATGAAATGTATAGTATAACCATCAGGGGGCACTTATCTCCTTAAGGCTGTTTAAAGAGTTGACTGTTTGGATGCTCAAGTGGTTAAAGCAATTGGGCATACACCGACAGATCTGTGTTAGATTCCTGGCTGGCACAGTCAATTCTCTGAACAGTCAAAACATCATTTATAACAATAGGAAAATTAACCAGATGATAATACTTTAACATAATTTTATCTTATATGTGAGATAGTAAGAATTAAATATTTTTGTTAGTCAATTAGGTTAGTATTTTCTTTCTTTAGTCTTGAATTTGGCAAGTATTATAAAAGGTTGAGGCATGTCTCAATATCATGCTCTTATGATGAGAAACACAAGAATATCTTATTGAAGACCAAATTGGTACTAATTATAACTAAATGTTTAAAATCTTAAGGTTTTATCATTATATATTATTTTACCAATTGAAAAGGTATTTTAGGGCAAAAGTGCTTTCTCACCATCATACTTTCAACCCCAAACTGAAGTAAATCTTTTAAAAAACCTCAAATATATCAAAGTAATTTAAAGGAACAAAGCGCATGTTTCGTTCCACTACTTTGACAATAATAAATTATTATCACTGATATCCTAATACTAATGTTAAACTTTCATAAAGAAATTGTCTTGCAGAACACATCCTTATTATGCTTATTGTTGGAAAACAATTATGTTGCTGTAAAGATTAAGAAACAAATTGAATAGTTTTCCTAATTTAGATTGTCAGGTTTAAAAGCTGAGGGAAAACACTAGTGTGCATTCATCAATTAATTCAATTTTACATCATAATCTGCCACAACACACAGCTTTAGCACCAAGAGAAGTTTAAACGACAGCACTTCAATTTGGAAAGGCTACCCTCCACTTGTCTCAACCCAAGCTAGGATTAGTGGGAGTGTGTTTGTCCAATAATCTTTTAGTCCCTTTATTTCTCTATTTTATGGCATTTTCTCCCCCTTCTTACTTCCAAATTTTCCTCTTCTTCATTATACAGCATATATTAAAAAAAACTATACCTATAGTTATTTTATTCCTTTCAGTTGCTTAAATCCAGATACTGCAACTTACTATTTACCTTTTCTCATGTATTACTTCATATCTCACAAGGGCATGTTTCCATTAATTTTGCACTTTAATCTTCACATCACAGATTTTAAATTCAATCATTATAAATACTTACCTGAAACAGAGCTATGATGTACCAATTCAGCATGTTCAGGGGATAAAGTTGGCACAGTTGATGCTGGAGAAGGAACAGTAGGCATGGGCTTCGGCACACATTCACTGGTATTATTCCTATTCCTCAAGTAACCCTCCTTGCAATCACAAATACCGCTATTAGCGGGATGTGTGTTTGCAACACACCTCTCATTTTCCCGACACATTGTACTGATGAGGTCATTTGGGTTACATTTTCTACCTGAAATGAAAAGAGAAAATAATATTTCTATCTCTTTTATATTAGATTTATTCAATGAACGTCAGTTGGTAAATATTTCCTAAAAAAATTTTAATGGAAGAGTTAACAAAATATATTGATCAAATGAATGAATCTTATTTGAAATTAACTCATTTGTCACTTCTTCTTGTTACTAATAAACATGGCAATGCATTTTTATACAATTGCAACAACACCTAAAACTAACTTTTTATTGTAAACTATTTAAATCATCATACTGTAAATACACTTTTAAAGACAATCAGAATGGGAACATATCCAAATACAATTCAGCAGAAATTGAAATTAATATTTCACAATAATTATTTATTTTTTTAGTATGTTTTAAAAACAATGTTGAATTATTTTTTCTTCCATTTTCAGATGTGAGATAGGCAAATATTCGATAATATATTACAAATATTACTTAACATGCAATACAAGCATGATACAAAGATGTGAAGTTCACCAAATATTACTAATGTATTCATTCCTTTTAACTTAATGAAAACCAACACAACACTAACAACCAGTTTTGATTCTCACTAAGTGAAAAGAAATGAAATACATTGGTAATATTAGATGAGCTTTGTCTTTGTACCGTACATTTACTGTATGTTAAGTAATATTTGTTACACATCTTTATTATCAGTGATGACCATGTGATCTTTATTATGTCTCATAGTTTAAAACCTGAAGATGTGAGAAAAATAACACCAGAAATATTGTTTTCAAAAAACACAGTAAATAAATAAACAATGTGAATTAAAGTTTGGATGTGGGAGTCCGAAGTCTTCAGGATTTATCAACTGCCATGGACATTCAGCAAGTAGCTGCAATGTCAGTTAAGCTACTATTGCTAAAAGTGATGATAATTCTTCTGAATTTTATTTTGAGGTTTTCCCATTTTGGTTGACTTAAAAAATGAACTTACAATGTTAATTTATTAGAAGATAATAGTTTAAAGAAAAGATGAAGGAAAAAAATTAACTTTATATGAATGTCTGTACTTTATTCACATTATTGCAACGCGTTTCAAAATTTTCACAGCAATTGTGAACAATCATATTTTAAATAATTTCAATTTCAAATTGTTATTAGAATAACCTGAGAGATAAGAATTTAATAATAATAATAATAATAATAATAATAATAACAATACAATAATAGGGGTAAGAGTTAGAGGTGAAGATACAGAACCCTGAACTCTCACATCCTGGCATATCAAATCCACAAAAGTATTTGCTTAAAAGTTTATCAGAAAATAATCATGAATTCACTAAGTACTCTTCTGGTAAATCCAACTTTTTCACTAACAAAAATTTCAGCACTAATAAGTTCATTTTCATATTTTTCCAAAGCACTTATTCATTTATCAAATGTGAACTTCACAATAGAAGGCATCAATACAAATAATTACATCTAGTGCTAAAATCTAGATATCCAGTTTAATTTTTAAAATTATATAAATTCTAGTATCTTGGATAATACATACAAAGTTTAACAATGAAACATTTACAATCAAATAAATGATGTTTACGGTTTATTTCTTAGTACACTAATATCCACAAAATTATTTACTTTCTTTGATTTAGTTACTATTACAGTTAGTAAGAACATGATCATTAATGATATTTGAACTATTAAATAATAGCTCATTTTAATATGGGCTTTTTTAAATGATAATCTCGTGAAGATAATACTCTTGATCTTTAACAATACAATCTACTAAGTGTCGCTACAACGCCGAATTCAGATATGAAAGTCACAATGATTAACAACTATTCAGAAGTAATAAAATGAATCAACATACCTTCAGATGCTAACACTATTGTCAGATAAAATGGGGCAATAATGAAAAGTATCAAACTTGTACGAAGTTTCATTGTCATATTCACCACAAAAACAAGTGTCAAAATAACCAACTAGTGAATGGCCAGACAGAGAACGAAGCTAACAACACAGCGCTGTGCGCCTCCAAACACAACTATCTCCTTAATTCACTTCGTCCAATGATGATGCTTCATCCCAATTGAGCCATTGACATATTCTATATGTCAAACTGCGCTAGTCGCATAAACAATGAAAACTTCGAAGTTACACGAACTGTCAACAGCTTACTGCACGCTGTCCAAAAACATGTAAACAACAGACACAAACACTCAGTTACACCTACAACGCACGCCCCTTACAGCTTTATTTTTAACCACCCAGTTACGATGTTGCTAATGAGATTAAGGAAACTGTCAAATCAAGATAAATTAACAGTAATATTTTTAAAAGATGATATAGAAAATTAATGATGAAAAGCTGTAAATCTATGAACGGAAAATTATATTCTGTTCCTCCGTATTCGAGCAGGGCGTATTATCCAAATTTTCAGTATAAAACAAACAAGCAAGAACGCCGCAGCTTAAGTATAGTGCCAACACAATAGAAGCGCTAGTATCGTGTATTTGTCAAAGAATACAAAATCTCAAATAGTATTTTATAATGGCAATGAGCAATAATGGCAATATTTATTTTTCAATGGCAATGAGTAATAATCATTTTTTTTCGAGTTACGGAAATCAATGATTGAGACAACTCATTTCTTCATATTCAATCTTACATCTTTATTATAATTATATTTTCATACAATATGACGTTTCAAGATTTCATATTTTCCCATTCTCGGATAACATTACTATAATAAGACAAAATTGCAAGGTTATGATTAGAGCCAGGAAGTTTGCTAAAATTGCCTTTCTATTACTGCTATGATTTTAGGAATTTTAACTATAAGAATCACTTAATCTGGGTTTGTTATTGTAGGTTTGTCATACTAGTTGGCCAAATGATGTTCGCCACTTGACCAATGTTTTATACCATTGATAATTCTTTTATTACAATTTTATATATTTATGATGTGGTTTCAACAAACCTGGACAATAGATTTTTGAAAAATACCCCAAATAGGGTCGAAATGTCCAAAAATAAATAAAATACTAAAAATATTACGGTTTGCTTTATTAATATAAAAAAATATTAAAATTAAATAAAACGAAGTTTAACAAGTCTGGTGCTTGCTTTTATTTCCAGTGAACACACGCGTGTGTATTAGTTCTGCATTGAGACAATTTGAGCCAGAAAAAGTTTTCGTACAATTAAAAAATGAACTAGTTTTCGGAAATACGGTGATCGCACTCCGCATGCACTTATGCTGTGCGGAGATCGCACTCCGCAACAAGCACGTCTGTGGACTTGTTTTACACTATTAATTTCATGATCATAGTTATTGCTATTGCTGCTACTAGTGGTAATAACGAAATAAAATTATTGTGCTTAGGAAATTTTGTGATTATATTGCGTGTATACATGTCCTAACATTTATTTTTGTTGTTGGTGACATTAAGATGCTTCAGGGGCAGCTTCAAACTAGCCTTTGAATTCTTGGAGGCGTTGTTGGGGGAGTCAGCGTTTTTATGTTCAAAAAAATGTATCGATGTACTGAATAATTTGGAATGAGAATATAAACTGAAAAGTATAAACGAATGTCTTGTTTCATCATTATATGATAAGTATAAAGGAGAATATACATACCAATTTGGTAGCAGAGCTTGGTTGATTTAAATGAAATAAAGAAGAAACCATGGCAGGAATAATGTCCACAACATTTGGTAAAACTGCAGCTTTCTCGAATTCCAACTATGACATATTGCCTTGTAATTCATAATTCAAGGCTTGCCAACCCTTGTCTTACCACGAGATACAGCTGAATATTAATATTATATATATATATATATTATATATATATATTATATATATATATTATATAATATATATATATATATATATATATATATATATATATATATATATATTTTAGGGTTGAGGAGAAAATGCCAGCCAGACTACGGGACTCTCCAGATTTAGAAGAAATTTGTAAACGCAGTGAAATAGTGCAGAAATATGCGAGAAGAAGTATGCGAACGAGGAGAAGCTGGACCTAATTCTGGTGTATGGTGAATATGGCAGAAATGCAAAGAAAAGTGCATTACTGTATGCTGAAAGATATCCAGATCGACGGCCTTCGCACATGACTATAGTGAGAATCTGTAAAAGCCTTGTGCAGAGTGGCGAGTGAAACGCAAAGACTCGTTTGCGGAGCAGAAGGGCAACGAATGAGGAAGCACAGGCCGTTCTTGCAGGCGTTCACAACAATCCCCATATCAGCACTCGAGACATTACCTGAGATTCCGACTTTAGTCGTTCGAGTGCCCTCCGCATTCGTCGTTCGAGTGCACCTTGAAGAGTAACACGTTTCACCCCTACCACATTTCGTTGCACCAGAAGCTTTATGATGGTGATTACCAGAAACGTGTTCAGTTTTGTCGTTTTGCTCTGGAACACGTGAGAAATGATGAGGACTTTTTTAAGAAGATTATGTTTACCGATGAGGCAACATTTACGAATCATGGTCAGGTGAATCTACGCAACATGCACTACTGGGCAGTGGAAAATCCTTTCTGGCTTCGAGAAGTTGAGAACCAAAAACTGTGGAGTATTAATGTTTGGTGCGGTATTCTTAACGACACCATCATATTGCATGGATGGACATTTGACAGGCAAAAATTTGCATGATTTCTTCGTGCCGCTGCTTCTGGAGGCAATTTCCCTGGATATGAGAAATTGTATGTGGATGCAACATGACGGATGTCCAGCCCACAATGCGCTTGTGGCTAGGCAAGTGCTGAATGAGAAGTTCCCCGGCCGATGGATTGGGCGCGGTGCAGAAGTAAACTGGCCGGCAAGGTCACCTGATCTTACGCCCCTGGACTATTTTCTATGGGGAACGATAAAGAACGAAGTTTACTCACAAGTACCAACAACATCTGAAGATCTGAGGCGCCGCAATACCGTATCTTGTCATGCCATTTCACGTGGAACTCTGAATTCTGTTCGAAGCTCTCTTTAAAAGCGTCTTCAAATGTGTATATCCGTTAATGGTGCACATATTGAGTACATGTTATAAATCGAGCTATATCTAGAATTGTTAACTTACCTTTTGTTTATGTATTTTAAAGTATTTTTCTTACTTTTATTTACACGATATTTTTGTACCGGCTGATGTTTTCAGTCTTTCAAACAGTAAACGTTTTGTTTCTGACAGCACACGCACTTATTAATTCAGAACATGTTCACTCTCCAATCTTCCCTTGCTTTCTGGACGGTTAATAATTCAAATATTTTCTCAAATCTTGTAGTATTTTATTAATTAAAAAAATAGTACCTTGTGGCGTACAGATTTGCTCAGAACATGGCTATGGGTGAATACATTGTCTCCAGGACTGAGAAGGTGTAGTCTTAAAGAAAAAATCGTGGGTTTCCGAGAGCAATGCATCACAACATTGCATCACTATATTTACCGCAGGGTCGACGCAACGGAAGGGAATGGCCCCGCCGCATATCATCCGGAATTTCTCATTCAGATTACGGAAACCTGCAGTCGGCGTGCGTCTTTAAAATTCTTTCTCGAAAATTTTGTTGTGTAACATACGGCGAAATGAATATTTATGAACTTGTCTCTTCACGCTTGTTATGATCTAAAAAATCTATAGGGTTCCATTTAAAAATCGAAGTTGGGTTAATATCTCTGCAATAAAAATGCAATAGAATAATATTATGCATGACCATACGTGCCCCTTGCATATGGTAGTTTTAGTGAAAAGCGCATCTCAGTATCTGCAACGGTTCAGGAGAAAATTGAAGGGAACATCTTAGGTGGGCCACACAGTCTATATTTAACGACACTTTTACCGCTGGCGCCATCTCTCGCAACCCATCTTCCAGAACTTGCGGTCGACACAATCCTTGTCTTGCAGACCTCGAGCTTTCATAGCTTTGCATACTCCATCTTGCCATGATCTTGGTGGTCTTTCCCGTTTTCTGCGTTCTGAAGGGCTCAACTTCCAAACTTTGTTTGCCATCTGGTATCTTCCACCGGTTGAAGGTGATCATACCGCATTAATTGTTTCGTTTCAATTGTGCATATGATGTTATTTTCAACCTCCATTATTTTACGGATGGTATCATTTCAAACACATTCCATTCCGTATATGCCACAACCTCTTCTCCAAAAATTCAAGTCAAGAGCTAACAGTCTTTCTTTGTCTCTTTTATTTTGTTCCCATGTTTCAGAGCCGTATGTACATCTACACTCAACGAGGGTTTTATACATTGTTCTTTAGGTTTTCCTCGTAATTTTGTCCTTTCATAGCACAGAATTTAAATGTCGTATTGCTCTCTTGCCTAGACTAATTTTATTTACTCTGTCATCTTTGCTTTTACCAGTCTCAGTGTCACTCCCAGATTTTTAATATGTTTCCAATGGTGCACTTTCACTATTCCTAAATCTGTCATTTACATTTTCATCGTCTGTTACCAGATATTCTGATTTATTAGTATTAATTTTCATTCCCCATTTTTGGTATTTTTGTTCAAGATGTCTGACCATGTAACTGGGGCGTCTTCATCAGAAACTTCAACAACTTTGTCAGCCGCAAATAGCTGTGTACACAAGGTTTCATTTTCAATTGGTATACCCATTCCTCTGCATTCACGTTTCCATTGCAGTAGAACCTCTTCACGATATATGTTGAATAATAGTGGGGCCATTGAGCACCCTTGTTTTAAGCCCTTCGTAACGTGGAATCTTTGGGATAACCTTTTTCCAATTTTCGCCATACTCTTGCAACCAGTATACATATTTTGGACAGCCTTAATATAAGTCTTACTTACACCTTGTTTATTGATAGCCACAACTTGGGTAATGGCACAGCCTTCTTTAAGTCAATGAAAGTTAAATGAACTCTCCTTCCTCGTTGTTTGTTTCTCTTAACGTAAATATGCACGATACAATGCACGATATTCCAGCTCGAAGTCCATGCCGCTCTTCTGATATTTGCACTTGCCTGTCATTTCTTTCCTTTAGTACTCTACCATATAATATTGTGGCGTCTTTGCTGGGGCAATAACTCACAGATGTGAACGGTTTGTAATTTATTGAGTATTTATTTTAAATATGCTCCAACATCTGAATACTATTTACAGTAATTACAATAAACAATATTGACCCGTTACTAGAAGGAATGTTCGTGGTCACCACTACCGCTGGCCTGATAATTTGATATCTTGTTCGGGTGTCATGCACCAGTTGCCCTACGTGCGCATACAAGCGGGTATGCCGCAACTCCCGTCTCGACGTAGTATGCCGGCTACATTTCCCTGCCTCCGTAGCGTATGCATTGAAATGCCGCGCCGCGCACAACCCACACGACTTCCTACCGACGCACCCAAGAATCAGAAGGAGTTTAGGTCCGGGGTCCGCTTATATTACTTTCTTGGCCGGCTGACGGAACTGCGTCATCTCGCTGTTTCCGCTGACGCGTTTCCACAGCCAGCATGTCTACGGGGTTCACAAGTTTGCTTCAAGTGGTAGAAGGGGTTCACAAGTGGCCACCCACGACACGGCACCCCTTCCTTTCCGCTCCCTGGGTTTGTCATTGTTCAGCCCGGCGCCCTTTCCCGCCAGCGCTGCCCGCTGTCGCAACTTCCTCGTGCATTTCATGTGCATGAAATTCACGTGGAAAATATTTTGTTACGTTTGTACAAGGTGATTAATATGACGCTACAAAATGGCTACTGAACAGATAACACTTATGCCCATATAGTTCTGACGGTCCAGTCTATTTCCCATTCTATAGATAGAGGTTATGGTTGCCAATTTCCATTCTTCAGGTACTATCTCATTTCCATGCATTTTTTAAATTACTAAGTAAGTACTTCAATCACTATCCACGGACCTTTTTTGATCAATTCTACATTTATGTTCCCCATACCTGGCGGTTTACCGTTTTTCATTTTCATAAGTGCCTGTTGTACTTATATTTCCGTGATTTTTTCAGTACTTTCATCATTTTTCTGTCCTATTGAGTTGTCTGTTTGTTCAATAAATTCTGGTCTGTCTTCTGTTTATAAATTTTTATAATATGTGCTCCATTCATTCATATCTATGAGACTAAGACCCGCTGTGTCTTTATTATTCTTCATTTCTTTAAGAATTTTTCTGGCTTTGTTAGCTCGCGTGTTTCCTTCACAATTATTAATTTCTTGACAGTTATGTTGTCACATTTCATTTTTTGTTTTGTTAACTAACTTTTGAGTTTCTTTTCTTTTCTTACACTATTCATTTCTGTCCTATGGAGTATGCGTTACAAGCCACTTTGTGTATAAAGTCTTCTGTTCTTCAACTAATTTTTGGTAATTTTCATTCCACTACAGTTCTGTTTTCCTTTGTGTACTAGTCTTAGGAATTTCCCCGATAGCTTCACTAGCTTCTTGGATATATTTTTTTATATCTATGTAGAGTTGATTTGCTGAACTTTTTCGTATTTTACTGATTTTATAAGCTAGTCTAAGTTTGTACAAAAGCTTTATGGAGTCATTTCGAAGCTTCCTTACATCATACCTTACATCGTCTATCTTGTATTGATTTTTATTCCCATTTTCAATATCTCCTGTAGTCAATTCTATGGATTTTATAAAAGGGAAAATATCTTTGAGATCAATTGATGGTGGTCTGATCCGCATTCTGGTCCTCTTATCACTCATACATCTTGAACTTTTATCAGAGCTTTCTGTATTACTATTATATAATCAATCACTGATTTTAACTTTCTTGTTGGTTGTGACAACGTATACCTATGTATATCTTTGTGAGCGTACCAGCTGTTTGTTATTTTTAAAGAATTTTATTGACACATTTCTTTCATCATTTTCATTTAGTTTATTTTCTCCAAATCTTCCAACCATTGGATCATTTACTGCTTTTCATGTTCCTCCATTTAAGTCTCTCAATAAAATAATTTCTTTGCGCTCACTGATTTTTTCCAGTACGTCTGTCAACTCTTTATAGAACATGTCTTTCTTTCTTGTCAACAGGTGCGTCATCATTAGGAGCGTAAATTGCTATTATTACAACTGCGTGATTTTTAATATTCATTTGTTCCTGGAGTATACGATCACTGAGACATTCCCAAGATTTTATTAAGTTCTTATATGTCTTCTTTATTGCTATGAACACTCCACTCCTTGCCCTTTCGTCCTTGTTTACTTCGCTGTAAATATTTACATACTCTCCTTTTTCTTCTGATCCCTTTCCTTTTCTCTTTGTAATAATAATAATAATAATAATAATAATAATAATAATAATAATAATAAATTTAAAAAAACGCTAAGTTAGCAATATGTGAAAAACTACATTTTCGCTCTCGAATTGTAGACAACTTATTTGCAGCGGTAAATGAACTGCGGATATTATTTTTTTGTACTGCTAGCAAAATAGTAACACACCTCTAACTCTAATCCTACAATTTTTAGGAAAAGGAGAGCTCAACAAAATATGTGCAAAATGACGCTAATTTATACCCAGAAGCAAAACAAGGGGCCATCTCAGCATTTGCTCATTGGATCAGGGAAACTAAACAACACCCTAATCGAGATGGGGATCATTGACTCCGGAAGCTGAAGTACATTACTTGTTAAAAGCATATTCCATTTTTTATTCAATATCTTCTAAAAATTATACAATATAAATTTAAATTAATGCATTATGTATAATTGTTAAAATCATATTATTTTTCTTTTTGATGGTCAGTATAGTGTCCAATTGAACAAAAACAGTTATGCAGCGGGAACTATTTTTTTAATCTTAAATAAGTTAAAAATTTAATTCTTTCATATCATTTGGCAATGTGTTATAAAGTAATGCACATGTGTTATACGTGGATTTCTTATAGTGTGCTGTTGTTACTGATACTTTGTACGACGAGATATATTGTAATACATTGAGAAATACATTGAACTACGGATGGAAATGTTGAAGAAAAAGGACGAGTAAATTAGTAGCAAAATGGAATTGAACGGATATTTTATTAAATTTGTTTATTTATACTTGTCGGTGAGGAATAATTTCTTTTTTACATTCTTTTGACTTGCTCATCATACTACGTACTTATGTAGTAAACAATTATTACATACTTATGTGGCTGAGTATTGTAATTTTGCAACAAGGATCTGTGAGTTTTCGACAGAAAACTCGTTTTGTGGGGCCTTGATATAAAAGAAGGGGTAAAATATTTTTTCTGTAAGTAGTGAATTACTTCTTCTAACATGTGTCGTTAGAATCCAGTCAGTCCTTGATACCGATAAATAAGTTTATAAAACTTCTCTCTTCCGGTCCGTCAAAAATAGGGCCTAAACCGTTGTCTCCAAAAATCTCCGTCTAAAAGATTGTCTCCAAAAATGATATAGTTCCACTGATCTGGGCTAACTCGTTACCCTGCGAGTTTAAAACGGATATTCTGATTTTCGAGGGTATTTTACATTAAATCTTAACATTAGCAAAATTTTCTCAAAAATTGCTCAAAATATTTCAATAATTTTTTCTTTTGATATAACAATAAATATCTTTATTCTTCATTTTTTACGTTAACGGGTTATATGGAAATTCTCGTTAAGTGACGACACCACCTTTGTGCAAATCTGTGCTAATGGATGTCAGTGTTTTCAAAAACACTATTAATCCAAGGTAGAAGGTGGCTCGAGGTGCTGGGATACATAATTTAGAATCGATTTTATGTAAACTCATAAAGAAAAATAATACAACATCGACACAATCCAAAACTCGGTGAAATTCTTGTAATAAGGCCTTGTGATTAATTCACCTCTAACTGGCCGATCCAAAACTTAACTTCCGCGGAGAAAACCTTATTGATTTATATTTCAGGAATGGTAAAGAGAAAGTAATGAAGAAAATGAGGATCCACTTTTAAAAGTTTTTATTATTTTTTTGTACAAAAATTTCAATATATCAAAACTCTTTTATTAATTATTTTCAGGAACTAGAAAATACACATTAGTCCGGAACTTAAGATGCGTTACAGATTTCGAAGGAAGTCAAAATTACTTAATAGTTTTGTATAATTACTTTGGAAACATATGAATTACCACATTCTTGAGCATATGAGATTTACTTAATGACATTTTATTGATTATAATACACTCTGATGCTATTTGTATTGTTTTAAAATATTTAAATGAAAGAGCAATTCATAACAACGAAAATTTTTTAAAAAATATTTTATCTTCTTTAACAGATAACACACGAAAAATATTCTTAGCTGCACATCACATGTTATCTTTAATATCTAAAACGAATAATCTATTTCTTAATGTTGTAAGTGATACGTAGTAAAAATCATTCATGTATGTATCTTTTCATAAAACATTGCTCTTCAGTACTTATGTTTTGGAAAATCGTCATGACCTAAATTACACTTACCGTACCATTAATCTAGTACTTGATATAACTATGAAGATATCCCATTTTCTCTACACCAAGTAACGCTACTACCATTTGCATTAATGAATGCAGTACGCCAGCGAGTTTTATCCTTTACTGGCTGATCTAATTTTTAAAAAAAATGTACCCAATCTCTCTTCTGTTCATGTGGTCCATTTCCGTCACATAAGAAATCATTTAAGATCATGTGATGGATTGTCACAAGGCCAACGCCGGCAGCGCTGAGTTAGTTGTCTTCCGCCGGCGCCTGCGGTCTGTTCCTGCGGCTGACGCGGCCGCCCGCCGAGTCGCCCGGCCGACTCCAGAAGGTCACGTGGCTGGTGGAGCGATGGCCGGTGCGTTGATTGAACACGCCACACGCTCCGAATGGCGGACAGTACAGGTGCAGGGAGACGGCCCTCTCGCTGTGGCTCGGGTTCTCCACGCGGTGCAGCCCTTGCGAATCTGAAACGAATTTAGCTGGGGTTTGTTACGGGGCTAGAAGACAGCGATCCGATCCGAAACGGGAGTGTCTGTGAGGTAGCCGAATGTCACCTAGAATAAGTCCTAGCAAAAACAGAAACAAAGGACTATGAACATATTTTAATCTTATGTTTATACTCGCGCAATAGAAATGTTATTTTTCGTTTTATGTACTGATAAATAACGTACATTAATTTAGATTTAGATTTATTTAGTAAAAAAAAAACAAAAAAACAACAACAACAAAAAAACAAAAAAAAAATAACAACAACAGTAAAAACTGTATGTGACGTCTGGGGGAGAAGATCATCTGCGCACGTTTTCTTGAGTTCCAGAATCCCTTCCCATAATTTTAACTGTAAATAGTAGAAAGATGAGTAAAAGTTTAACATAAATAAATAATAAAAATATTTTTTTAAAAAGCGAGAGATTAGCAATAAAAAAAATGAAACTAGACATTTTCGTTCCCGAGTTATAGAAAACTTATTTGCATATGTAAACGAATTGCAGGTATGATTTTTCTGCATTGCTAACAAAATAGTTACTCGCCTTTACCTCTACTCCTACCACTACAAGCAAAAGGAGAGTTCAACAAAACTTGCGCATAGTGAAGCTACATTTACGTCCAGAAGCAAAACAAGGGGACATCTCAGCATTTGCTCAAAGGATCAGGGAAACTGGACAAAAACCTAATCGAGATGGGATTTTTAATTGAACTTAAGGAGAGAGGGTACCATGAAATGGGTCAAATGATCGACTTTCGTTTTTTGGCTAAATAAATGGCTCACTTCCCAAATATGTCAACATTTTTTCTTCTAGGACGCCTGGAAGCCTCTTCAATTCTTATTTAAATTTACAAGTCTCATGAGCCATGCACTCTTTTTTGACACTACATACAAGTATGGCTATTGTGCGTAATTTTGAACGCATGTTAGGTTGTTAATGAGTTCTTGAAACATACTCTTGTTCATACGTTGGTAGCATTGGTCTTTTTCGCTGAAAAAGATGATCCAGAAAATGTTGCAGATATAATCGAATAGAGAAGTACCAAGTACAGACTTTTTTAAACGGCGTTTGCCGAAATTAACTTATTTTGAAATTAATGTACCTGTTTTCAGTAACTATTGTTCACAATTTATTAAAATTTAGAGGATAAATTTATTTTAGTAATAGTAACAAATTGACATCTTTATGAAAACCTTCTTCAAAAATAAATAACTATTGAAAAAATATTGTTTGTCCAAAAATGCTGTAAAACTAGGGCAGACGTTATAATTGAAAAAAATTAACCAACTCCAAAAAATGTTAAAATAATAAAAAATTGCAGTATCTGTAAATGTGCGAAATATAAGTTTCTAGTTCACCATATTCTACAAAAAGCACATCAGTAAACGCAAATTTACAGTGGGCGGTAGAACAGAAAAGCAGTTAAAGTATCAATGCTGTGGTAAATCAACCAAGCTGATTGCTAAATATTATCTCTACGACGTCCACAGCGTTTGTGCGCCAGAACAGGAGACACAGGTACAATACTAGATAGGCCAAATCAATACGATCCTAGACATAAAACCAACGCTATACGCGATGATTTTGAGCAAACGAACCTTACTACACTGCTTCGAACAGTCCCTCAAACGACTACGCTACATACGACTCTCTCGCGGACGGAATATAACTTCCATTTAAGACGGACACAATAATCACTACGACCAAGTCTCAGACATTCGAAAACGGTCACTAATCAAATTAACTGTCAACAATTTCGGACGCCAGACAGCGGTCATCCGGCTTGTCCAAACACGACGAATGAAAATTATGTCATTAGGTACAAATCCAGGAACAGTGTTCTGACCTCATTTCGATTAATCAACAAATCAGTCCGAAAAAAAAAAGACTAACCAATGACCATCACGGACGGGTGTTCGGAGTAGTTATGGCAAGGGGTACGTTGATAACTCCGAAACTCAAGCGAAGAGTGCGGACGGAGAGGCAGAAGATTACGGAATGTTTCAGTGAAACAACCTTCGCTCGTTGTTGAAGTGATCGCGGACTGGGAGGTGAAAGGTGGGCAGAAGTTGTTAAGAAAGGCAACATAATATCTGTTATAGGAGACATTACAAAGTGCGCAAACGGAGGAAGCATTTAATGTTTCTGAAAAAAACGAGAACGAGCAGGCTCGGGAGAGCGAATGCGCGAAATGCTTTTACTCGTAATACATTGATCGACCTCTGTTTTTTTGCTCTCAAAATCACTTCACCTTCAAGCGGGTTTGAAGATGCAATATTGTTTGAAAGGCTAGCAAACTGAAGTATACGTACTTAGGACTGGTAACGTACAGATTGCATTACCCTTTCACTTCTCCCATTAAAAAAATACGTATGTGTATTCTGAGACGTCAAGGCAATAAACTTCATTAAAAACGAAATTCAAGTTGTTTTGTAGCACATATGGAAAGTTTTATTTCAATATTTGACTTTTTCCTTTCTGTGTTTAATCATGCTCGCTACTGTGGTAAATATATCCTTTGGTGTAGTGCATGTTATACCCCGAGAGTGGAGGAGTAGTTCCTCCCCGCTAGAATATGAAATCCTTCGAAGACCTATAGGTGCGTTGTCATCTGATCCAATGGAGCCGAAGACGAGAACAACGTAAAGCGTGTCCATAGACATGGCCTTGAAAGTAAAGGCTTCCGCGGTCGGAGTCGATAGATACGCGAGAATATATTGTGGCGTCATACGGGTGTAATCGAACATAGACGAGAGTGGTTTGTAAAACAGTAGATTTCTTAACAATCTAGACCGTACTCTCAATTTAACAATTACCCTGCTCACAATAAACAAAATAAATAGGCCCACTACAAGGAGAGATAATTTAAGAATGGCTACCACACCGCAACATACCACCGATGTTCCCTGTATGAAGACGCTCTACTTTGAGACCATTTACGCGTCTCGCAAGTCACGACAATGAATTGCCGGCCCCTCGCCCTAGTGCACCTACACGCACAGACACGCGCTTCACCTGTCGCCGACGCCGCTAGAACAAGAAGACTGGGGCATTGTTCTCCTGGCCTTATATAGGCCCTTTTGGCTCTACCCGCCGCCCCCATTGCCTCATCCCCAAAGCCGCTCTGGGCCCGCAACATCCACGGAAAGTCCCAGTGCGTCATCACTCCGCCCTTTGTTTAACATCCGGCGATGCTCGCCTATTTCCACGTGGTTGTCTGATTTGAGCGTGGCACGACGCTACAATATATCTTGGTTCTTCTGGATTTCAGCAAAGCGTTCGATTCAGTAGATCATGACCTTTTGCTCGCAAAATTATAAATCATGGGATTTGCACAGCCTACGCGTACATGGTTTCTTTATTACTTAACTTCCAGAACCCAAAGAGTGGTGTCTGGTAGCTGCAGTTCAAGGAACGTGAAACGTAAATGCGGAGTTTCTCAACTCATTGTGTTAGGGCCGCTGGCTTTCTTAATCTATGTAAATGACGTAGGAAATGCAGTAAAATATTGCAGTTATCAATTGTTTGCGGATGATCTCCAGATATACTTACGTGGCCACCCGTCAAAACTCTTATCAGTCGTACAAAAGATTAAAGTTGATTTGATAACAGTGAACAACTGAACAGCACATTTAGGCATTTTTTTACAATTAAACCTAAATAAATCACAGTGAATGATTATCAGTTAGAAAAACACTATGAATAAAATCTCATATTCTGCTCTGCCTTATATTTATATAAATTACACCGACTACCTTGGTGTTCCGAAGTCAAGAACCTAGGTGCATTTATCGACAACACACTCAACTGGAACTCGCAAGTAGATTCAACTTGCCGTAAAGTTTTTGCCTCAATGCATTCACTGAAACGCCTGCGAACACTTTTACCAAGTAGCACACTTAAGACTATAATCAAATCGCTTATCAAGCCACATTTCTACTATTGCGACTTTCTTTCACCAACATGACATTCAAATTACAACGTAAACTTCAAGTAGCCCAGAACGCATGCGTAAGTTTTATTTTTGATATAAGAAAATACGACCATGAATCGGAATTTTTGACTGAATTTGTATGCTTACTCTAGACAAAAGACGGTTACTCCATTCTCTACTTCTTCTTTATAAAGTTTTATAACGGTTCTCATGCCTCATAAGTAACTTTAATCCTCTGAAACTAAATCGAGCTCGTGATTCAGCTCTGCTTTGTGTACCACGTCACAACACGACTTCGTTCAGTAGATTATTGACCATTACAGCTATCCGAGTCTGGAATACATTACCAGCGAGTGTAAAACATTCAACTACTTTTCGTTATTTCAAAAATGAATTAACCGCATGAGTAAGGAATAACGACAATGGGTTTTCTGGGTTTTCTTCAATCTTCAGTCTTCTCCCACTTCCGGTCACCGTCCCCGTAAAAACACCGTACTTTCCCCCTCTCTATTTTCGAAATTCTATCCCATACCTAAATGCCCTATCCTCATTTTCCATTCCCTCTCACACCATCTAAATGATGAACATTTTTATTTTTCTGTGTATCCTAATGAAATTGTTTAATAAAATATACAAAAAAAATTATTGGTGACGTTCTAGATAAAATATGCTTGTAGCTATCTTTGGACCGACATCATCTTTATTACAATATATTGGCGTAAAAAAATTGATGTTAAGATCCCAGCACGTTTTGTATTGTTCCTTAATACTGTCAATATTGTATTTTAAATTACTGTTGTTATTAGCGTATCAAGTATTGTGCTTCTCTGATGTTAAAATTATTTTATATTTATGTAAAGTGCTAATGTAAACAAAACAGCTTTCTGTAACATTCCTCGAATAATTTCACTTTTTTCACCTACTTCTTCTCCTTTTCTTCGTTTCTTCTCCCGTCCCTCTGCCTTAAAAATTTCTCCATTTTTATTTTATGACCCCTTTCCCTGTTCGTCTTTTCCGTTCTCTTCCAGGTTTCTCCGTGAGT